GTCATAGTCAACCACGCTGCACTGCAGGTTGACTTCGCACATATCTTTGGATTTCTTCACCGATATGTGCAGGCATCACGATGTTTTCCTTGACCTTAAAAACGTCGGGTAAATTACGTACATATGAAAAATTCTAAAATCACATTGGTATATGACGGGATTCGAACCCAAGACCTATAGATTACAAGTCAAGTGCTTAAACCCCTGAGCCACCGATGCTCCATTTCATTTCCAACTGCTATTTCCACTAAACTAGCTGTTAATTTGTATAACTACAAACTGGTATGTAAATAAATCGTCAACATAGCAAAGCTTGCTTCCTATAAACATCCGCAAATATGTTGTCTCTATTCGATGGAGGACGGAATAAAAAATATTTCCCCGTTTTAGCGTCTTCTTTTTCTAAATATGTTATTTAGCTTTTTTATTACCCCTGACCAATCAAACAATATGACTGAGAATGGAAAAAGCAACAAAACTCATTAAGGGAATAAAAAAAATTGGTACTCCTGATTGGTTGTCAAATAATAGAAATATCATTTCTCTTATTTAAATACTGTATTATCGAAAACTACCAAAAATTACCAATTCCTACTGTTAATTATCATTGATCTGATATCATTCATTGTTATTAATTATATCTACCATATAAATGTAATACTACCATAAACTACCAATTCCTACCGTTTCCTACTACATTTATGTTGTACAGGCGTTGTTCCAAATGCAAGCTCCGCGCGACGAGGCCGCCAAGCTGGAGGAGCAGCGCAAGATGATAGAGTTCCACGTCATCGGGAACTCTCTCACGGGGCCCGTCAACAAGCAGACCATGCTCTGGCTCATTGGTAACAAAACCTGTTTTCATTGTCAACATACTCGTTTTTATACACATTTTTATCTCTAGCAAAACGGAAAAACTAAAACTGAGGTATATAAAAACAATATACAATAAAACTTAACTAACCCAAGGTTTCTACTAAAACACAACTCACAACTGTAATATAATATTTCTTCATTTATTTGCAATATCATTTTATTTTATTACTAGATTTTGCTCGCGACTTCGTCCACTTAAAATTTAAAATTGCAAAGAAATATAGCTTATGTTACTGATAACCTAGCTTTTTTGAAAGATTTTTTGAAATCGTCTCAATAATTTTAGAGTTATTCCAATACATACACAAATACAAATCTTTCTTTATAATAGACTAGCTGTTCCCGCGCGACTTCATCCGCATAAAAGTATGAAAATCTTATTTTATTATTTATATGTGTCAAATTATCAATTGCAAATGTCAAAATGACATGAATGAAGACAACCTTGCTTCCTTGATGTTGGCAGCAACTTAAGGTCTCTTTCCCACATTACGGTTTTAACCAAAATATTTACCCCCTAAGTTTAATGGCGTTAAAATATATAGCCTAAAGCGTAACGCAAGTGTAGGGCTTTTTATTAAAAAAATAATTATCCAAAAATATGTTATAATTGCTGACATGTTAGGCAACAAAGAAGTGTGTGTTTACGCTTTATTATAATAGTATAGAAGTATAGATTATCACAGAAAAGAGTAAAATACTTATATACTAGTACGATTTTTTTTTATTTCCAGGTCTGCATAACGTATTCTCTCATCAGTTGCCGGAAATGACAAAAGAGTATATATCACAATTAGTTTTTGATCCGTAAGTAATTTTCATAAAAAATGACAAAATGGTACGTAATTTATATTGAAAAAATGCATAAAAATATTTTATATTTCAGTAAACATAAAACGTTAGCACTTATAAAAGAAGGTCGACCTATCGGTGGAATTTGCTTCAGAACATTCCATTCACAGGTAATTTATTATTATAATATACAGGGTAATTTTTAACGAACGGAAATACGGCTTTATGGAGTTAAAGGACCTCGATAGCTTTTTTTAAACGCAAAGTTTGTTGCCCGATTTTGTATAGTTTTAAAGTTATTTAACTTTTTGTAAATCGGAAAAAATCAGATTTTTGACTAAAATTCAAACATTCAACAAAGGTCATTTAACAAGCCTAATCATTGGGCTTTTGTACCGTTTTTTTTTTTAATAATTCACACAAGAACAAAATAAAAAAAACATTTATTTCTTTAACATCGAGAAGCTGTAATTAATTTTTTACACCAACGTTTTTCAAAGAAAAACAAAACGCATTTTGTTTGTTTTTCATGTAAAAAGAACAATTTGAAATAATCGAGGGCGACAATCTCTTGTTATTTTCATACAAAACATGAAAATTAAATTTTTCAAAGAAGTCTACAAAAGATATTTTTTTCACTAAAACATTACTTTTATCTATATATTTGTAATATATCTTTTTGTATAGATTATGTAGTAATGTTTTTGATATATCAGGGTTTCAGTGAGATAGTGTTCTGCGCGGTGACGTCCAACGAGCAGGTGAAGGGCTACGGCACCCACCTCATGAACCACCTCAAGGACTACCACATCCGCAACAACATCTTGCACTTCCTCACATTCGCTGATGAATTCGCTATCGGTAAGAAAAAAACATAATAAACAACATTAATAAAAAATCGGCAGACTACTGTAACGAATTTTAAACACTGTAAATACTACAATCTGACAAGAGGACATTTTAATGGAATTTCTAATTTAGGTGTGGCCTTATTTAAGATGTTACATATTTAAATGTCGTTTCAGTATTTGACCGTAATCTAAAATATCGAAAATGGATAGTAGATAGGCTTGAAGTGGAAAATTTCCCGTATCGTCAGATGAGTGTGAGCCGGAGGCTGGATTTTAATCCCTTTCTCTTCCCACTGATAAAAATATAGAAAGGAGAATTGAATTGACAGAGGAGATGCATAGGAACAATATTTTGTTTATGAGCGTCTCCTTCTCCGTCAATTAAACACAATGGCGGATGTCATTTCTCTGGATTTATTTCATTTACTTGCGACTTTGTCTAGGTTAAATTTAAAAATATATGCCTATGTTACTCATCGGTAATGTAAAAGTAATGGAGAAAGTATCTTTGAAATGGGCCAAGTAATTCTTGAGTTAATTCAATATATACGACAATACAAATCTGTCGTCTTTATATGTTTATGATTTAAAATGAAATGTATAAAATGATTATTCAACAGTGGTAGAGCCCGCTTTAACATCTTCGCACTGCAGGGCCGGCTCGCCGGTGTAATACCACGACCACACAGAAGACACGCGTGAAGTAGAAGCAATTCCGCGTTTCGTCTGATGAGTGTGGTGCCGGAGGTCTAATTTTAGTCCCTTTTCCTTTCCATCCTTTTCTTAAGAGGAAGGAATGGGAAGGAAAAGGGGATTTGACGGTGGAGACGCATAGGAAGGGGAAATGTCCTCTTTATGTGCGTCTCCTCCTCCGTCAATTAATGGTCGGCAACGCATCTGCAATTGCGGATGTCTATGGGCAGCGGTCGCTTTCAATTTCGGTGGATACAGGTGGCCGCTTGCTCGTTTGCCACCTTATATTATAAAAAAAATGATGTTAGTGT